AGTTGCTCCAGCAAAGAACATTTTCTGCGATTTGAATCCACATCATTTTTGAACAAGAGACAGCTACAGCATAAATTAGACTCATGGGTTGGCCTTCCATATTTGAATCGCAGTTTCCTTTGGAGCAGTTCCCAATGCACAGAATGAAGCAATCAAGCTTGTGGCGTAAATCCTTGGGAGCATACTTTTGCACTCAGGAAGGACGGGTGTCGCAATCGCAGGCTCCAAGTGGCGAGGCCCAAAGAGCACTGACACCATCACTTTGCTGCGGTTTGCGCGGAAGACGCGTCAGGAAAAGTCACGAAAGCCGCAGAGCAGAAGCCATAGAATTACTCCTTCGACCATGGCAGACGCGGTGTAGCGAATGTAGATGGAGCCGTGTCTGTAGACCAAGGTGGCACTGGAGTTCAGCCTCGCGCGAAAGCGGGGGCCTCAAACATCCAAGATATTCCAAGATAGCACTGCTAGCCTACTGCTAGCCCAGGAGGCCGCCAAGCCTCAACCTGGCCATGTTGAGCAGGGAGGAGGGGAGGCCAGCGCAGCTATTTGCCAGCAATTTTGCATTTAGCGAAGAGCCTGCCACCACTTGTGGTCCCGTGCAGCATGTGCAGAGACACCAGGAGAAGGGGCGCAAGCCGCAGAGTGGGAGCCAGAGATCTTCCTGCGAACCACACAAGCTGCATCATATTGCTGCCGACCCCTGCATTTCAGGGCCAGGGAAGGGTAGGCATACTCCATACCAGGCCTTGGGCACGCTTGGGAAAACCAAGGTGGCACGCACGGAGGGCAGCATGGGCAGACCCCTGCCCGCGCAAAAGTGTGCAGCCCATTTTCATAGTCTTCGTCATGTTCCAGCTGCATTTATCATTGTTGCTCCATTTAATAGTCCTTGGGTGTTTGATAGTATCCCCAGGAGGCAGCCAAGCCACATGCTGAGCAAGTGGTGGCGGAGGAAAGTAAATCTTTCAGCAATCAGTTGTGGCAAGCTCAGCAGCGGATGTACACAGGAGAAGCCGCGCAAGCCGCAAAGTGCATGCCCCACTTATTCTCGATCATGTGCAATTCAATATGGGGTCCAATAGATTTGGAGTCAGGACATGCGTCCCCATCACCCGGACGTCGGCATCTGAACTGCGGAGTGGCTCAATGGATAAGAGAGGAAGCGCACTAACCTGCCACTCAGGCGGCAAGAGTGACGCTTCAGGGAGGCAACCAAGCCAAGCAAGCCAGCCACCGGTGCGCTCGAAGGCTGGCCAGGCCAGACAACTTTTTAGAATGCGTGAGCGCATGTGAGCGCTGCTCCAGCTGCCTGGAACCCTGAAAGATGGCCTGCAAGCAAAAAGGAGGAGCCACCGGTTGGCTCGATGTCACAGCTCTCGCCAGCAGCTGCGGAAACTGTGAAGCCAGCACCTCTGGGTTTGGTGCTCATCCTTTGGTTTGCCTCCCAATGAGCGAAGCAGCGAAGGCGACAGAGGCGCCTGCAACGTCACCATACCTTTGCAGAGGAAAGCCGTGGCCTTGGAGTGACGCTACGCCGCTACGCGCGATGTAGTATGGACTCAGCATCCCGGAGCTTCTCCAGCACTCAGGCAAAGCACGACAAGAAGCGCTGCAGGCTGCACTCAGCACCCGCCTGAGCAAACGGAGATGCTGGCTGGGCGCCTGTCTTCGTTTGTCCAAGGTTCCGAGGAGGTCATGAAGCTGACCAAGGTATCCCCGTCACCGTTATGTCTGAAGAAACCTTATCCTCAAGGCTGTTTGCATCTGTTTGCCTAGGCTTGCGAGCCAAACCTGCGGCGCACATGGGAGTTCTTCCAGCGGTGGAAATCTTCTTCAAGTCCGGGGCTTAATTTCGCTCAGAAGGACGACCACGGCAGATTCTTGGTGGCTCGCACGTGATTCCAGCGATATGACTTACTTGCTGTGGACAGGTGGAGAAATGACACTTGCAGGCTTCTTGCTTCTTGGGGAATGCGACTTGGTTAAAGTGTTCAAGTGGGGTGCCGATGGCCACACTTGCTGTCGCCACGTGGCACGAGGCTTCGGCATCCTAGACAAGGATGACTTGAAGGCTCGAAAGATGGGCTATCTCTCGCAAGCTTTGGCAGTTGCTTGCTTCACCTTGATTTCGATGGATCTTGACCTGCAATCTGTAGGTGGCCTTCAAGCGAGGTGCTGGACATGAGCTCTCTCTTGCAAGCCTGCCTAATGCAGCTTTTCTGCATGGACGTGCCGCAAGACTTGCTACCTGTTTTTTGGGTGCTACCGAGAAGCCGAGGTCTTGATGTACTGCTCTGCAAGAGCTGTGGAGGAGCTGTGATGCTGTTCTGAAATTGTGCAGCATCAGCGCGTCGCTTCCACGGAGCTACTGTCGGGTCAACAACTTGCAGGTCTGCTGCTTATCACGTGGCATTGAGCCAGAAGGCCTTTGTCTTTTTCCGGCATTTGCTTGCGTTATTGCGGTGTTATTGCTTGTGAACCTTGCGGTGTGCAGGTGCCCTGACTGATGCAGGGATCCTCCAAGAAGCCTTCACGGAGCTCAGCCTGGTCCTCTTTCGTCCGATTTCAATGTGAGGACAAGTGCCTGGTCCTTCAGGTCACCACATGATGCTAAACAACGGAAGAAGTCTTGGCAAATGTTCCGGACTTGGCTGTAGCAGAGATGTCCTGTTCTGAATAACAGCTTAAGCTGGGGTGCATGAGCCTGGTGTGTGTACATGCAGAGCAGCATCGTCGGCCTGGCGCATGTTGCCCAGAGCTCTCAATTGTGATCTCCAATTCTGTACCTTCCGTTCCCAAAACCGAAAGCCACCAACATGGGCAAATTTGGCGCGTGTTTGGTGAAGATGGGCGACCCTGAGGTCTGGATGGCTACAGGCGCGCGGGGGATGTGTTGGAGGCGTTCCTGGCCTCAGTGTGATTTGCTGCTTTCAGCTGGCAATCAACTACTAAGGGAATTTTATGTCTAAGTCATTTTCTTTTCAAGTTTGTTTTGCTCATTTTTTGCGATTGCGGACGTTTATTTTTTTTGTTATGCTTGTCTACTACACGGCTTCATGGCCTGACCGGTTCCAACTACTGGGCTTCGTGGCTTCACTGGCTTTCTGGCTTCTTGGCTTCTCCGTCTCTTTCGTTCCTTGCCTTCTTGGATTCTTGGTTTCACCGGTTTCTTGGCTTCTTTACGAGATTCTCACCTTTTTGTTTCTTGGTTTGGTAGACCTGCTTCTGGTATGATGATGACCAGTACTCCTGCTTCTGTCAATACTAACTACGACCTTTGGCTTTCTTCTACGTTTTTCAATCCAGCAAGGGCTTATGTGTTCCCATCTTCGTCCAAGTTTTGCAAACGGAGGTTTGGGCTACTCGCCCCCCCCCGTTTTGGAACTTAACACCCACCCCAGGGCAAATCCTGTCAATGAGCAAGAAGCTACATGTTCTCATCCTCGTTCAGGCCTTTCAAAAGGAGAGCCTTCTCACTATTTTTCCGATATGTCGGGAACACCAGCAAGACCCAGCAAAAATCCATCATCTCTGTTTGCAGTTTCAGGAATGTTTCAGGCATGTTTTGATTTTGTGTCCGTGTTTTGAGCTTACCTCAGTATGATAGTTGCTTTCTATTGCTGTGGCTTTTGGGTTCAAGGGTGTACTTGTGCCCCTGCGTTTTTGCTAATTCACGCATTGGCTGTTATGTAGTGCCATGTTCTTGGGACACAGATATAGCTTTGAAGTTTGTCATATCTACTTCATAGTCCAGAGCTATAGTTCCCTCGTATTCCCTTTGGATGTTAGTCCATGCTAGTTCCCTTGTATTCCTTTTGATGATAGTTCCCGCCTATTCTCTTTGAATGGCTAGTTTTCTGACTGGCTACCGCAGAAAACCGGCGAAAATCACAACAACCGCCACAAAAACCACCAACACCCAAACACAAAAAACCAAATACAAATTTCCCGACCAACTCCTTCAAGGAACCCCAACAGCAGCTGCCTGATTTTCATTTTCTATTTTTGGTCTTTGGTAGCCAAATTCCCTTAACCCAAATGGAACCCAGTAGCCACCTGCGCAATTGTTGGAAAATCATTTTGCAAGCCACCGGTCCTGGAGCATAGCCCTTTGTTCTCAAACTTGTCTTGGTTTCGGAGCCCAATGGACAGTTTTTGTATTTTTTGCAGAAGAGAGGTCTCTCCTTTGAAGAACATAAGCTTCATTCTACACCGTGCCTTATACATAGCGCTTTATGAAAATTAAGAGCATTGCTTGAAATGCAAACAAACGTGTGTCTTACTGAAAAGCACAAAGGCTTTTGCATATAAGGAGAGAGCCCAAGCTCCAGGTGATTCTGTTGAACTTCTTTGGGATCACAAGAAACACCTGCAAGGAACTGGAGCTTCCACTTCTCTCAAGTCAATCGTATCTCTCTTGTATTCTTGTCGCGGAGAAGAGAGAATTTGGGCTGCGGGCATTGCGACAACAGAACAGAAGATCAGCAACAATTCCACAAGAACAGCAACCAGGAAATGAAGCATCCCGACTACACCCCGTGGGTCTTCATTTTTTTTCAGTATTCGGGGCAGAACGTGCGCAGTCAGACTTCGTGGCCCATGCTTGGACCGGTTGGGTGGCTGCCTTTCGCTTAGGTTTGTCTACCAGCTTCCAGCCACATATGCCCCGGAGATGGAGCCAGACACGGGAGGGGGAGTCCTTTCCTTACCGTTCAAGACTATGAGAAAGTTCGGACGGCCAAACTTGATTCGCTTCAGGTTCAAGCCAGTGTGACCCTCAGAAGTGTTGGCACAGAGGTTTTTCGGAGACGAATGCAGGTCTCGGGTGCTGGTTGGTTGCACTTAGCTATCCCACAGACTTGAGTCAAGGCAAGCCCGAGCAGAAGGCTTTGTGCACTTGTTTGCTGGTTAGTCCTACTTTCGTACCAAGCAGCTTGTAGCGTGCAGGCAGACGCGGGCACTGCATCAGCTGAAGGCTCTTAGAAAACGATGCGCGCGTGATGTGTTACTGGTATCAGCGGCTGGTAGCGGTAGCTGTCTCCTTCGCAGGACCGAAGGCCGCGGAGGCCGCGCTTGCTTTCC